CTCTTAAGGCTTAACCAAAGCGGGCAATAATTCCGTGGATTCGCAACAGGAGTCACAAAATCAGATAAAATTTAATAAAAAGTTATTAGACTTTGATTACGGAGACGACGAGGAAGAGGATGAGAAGGGAGAGACGCCCACCGAAGCCGAGCCCCCATTACGGAGTGCCGGCGATGATAATAACGTGGCGAACCCGTTGGCCATCAGTATGGCCCAGAATTTGCTGTCAAACCCGGAACTATTACAACAGTTACAGCAAATGCAGAAAACAATACAACAGACGGAGCTCTTGAAGATGAGTATATCCGAGTTGGAAGCGCACGGTTTGCCTAATTTGGGCCAACAGTCGGCCGGCGCTCAAAGCGGTCAACAGTATATGTCGTCATTTCAAGCACAACAGCAACAGTCGTCGCAACCAAACCAGACGTTAATGAATAGCGAAAACAATAATAATATGAATTCTGATGAGAATCGCAAACACAATGAATTAAATATGAATTTTGAGTCTTTGGAGCAAAAACTCGCTAATAATGATAGCAATCAATTAAATCCCAATTTAAATCCAAATGACAATAGTTTTCAATATTTGCAAAACGCAAACAATTTCGGTCCGCAAATGCGTGCGAATGACATGAGTTATGCTTTAAATAATAGTATAATAGACGCGCAACCATACCATCAACAGCACAACCAACCGAACCAACCATTTCATCAACAGCTGCCCCAACAGGACATGAATGACAGGTCGGGCGACGACGACCGGAGTTCAAGAAGATCGCGGTTTAGTAGTCGTTACCGCGACAGGTCTGACAGATCCCGGTCCCGATCGCCACGCAGTAGTCGACGGGATAGAGACCGCGACGCCGGCAGGAGATCCTATCGGTCGCGGAGTAGATCTCCGCGTAATTCACGGTTCAATGATAGGGCCCGTTCTCCACAGACTTATGAAAGGGAACGGGAGAGGGAGAGAAGACGTAAAGGGCTGCCGCCCATAAGGAAGGGCTATCTCGCCATCTGTTCGACCACTTTATGGTTAGGACACGTCCCCAAACTTGTCTCCGAAGCTGATCTCAGCGACACTTTCGGCGAATTCGGAGCCATTAATAGCATTGATGTAAATGAGAGTCCATTCCCTTTCGTATCAAACTTTTTATAAACTCTTCTACTTTTGTTTATTACGGTATATCACTTGAGCTCAAAGTTAACCATTTGTTTGTCTCTGCCATCAGTTGATCCCATCGCGAGGCTGTGCTTATGTTTGTATGAATAGACGTCAGGACGCGGCCAAAGCACTCAACAATTTACGAAATGTTAAACT